CTCTGAGTTGCGGGTTGGGGGCTGCAGCTCAGCCTGGGTTTTGCTTCTGCGGCGGGTAAAAATCAGCTATTGTTTCTCTCCAGTCCCGCTTGTCTGCTTTCTTCCCTGTGACAGGGCCCTGCCGCTGGCCACATGGAGCTCACAGAACTCCCAGGCAGGGCTGTTCAGGGAACTCGCCACATCTTCTCCCCTCCCTCTTGTCCTACAGGGAGGTCTGGCCGCTGCGAAAGGCAGCTTCTTCATTTCCCCCAGTCCACCACCCAACACCCAGGGTTCTGACCTGTTGTAGTTTTTAAGCACAGATCCCATGCTCAGATAGGCTGGTGTGCTGTTTGGGATTTTTTGTTGAGTTCTAGATGTTCAGCTTATTGTTTCAAGGGGAGAGATCTGGGGATGTCTCTCACTCTGCCATGTTTCTCCAAACTCTATTAAACTTGACTCAATAGGAATTCATCCACTGATTCTCCACCAGGTTGTTAGGATGAAATGTGTATGTGTACGGTATAATTTTTTGACTTTTTATTTTGAAATAATTTTAGAAATATAGAAAAGTTGTAAAGATAGTACAGAGAATTATTGTATACCCTTAACCCAACGTTAACATCTCATATAACCATGGTATACTTATAAAAGACAAAGAAATTAACATTGGCTGTGTGTGTGTTTTTTAAAATCATGTTGAGGAAGTGTCTATTGATTCTTCTTTTTCAGTCTCTTTTAAAAAATTGCGAATGAATATTTAATTTTGTCGATTGTCTTCTTGGTACATATTCTTATTTTTTTTCTTTTGACGAGTTAATATTAATTAAGTTAATAGATAGCCTAATAATGAATCATTCTTGCATCTTTAAATAGTTAAAAAAATATAAATTAATTGTTGGATTCTGTTTGCTAATATTTCATTTAGAACCTTTACACTGATAATTATAAGACTGGTCTATAGTTTTTTTGTTTTTGTTTGTTTTAAGCAATCTTTAACAGGCTTCAGCATAAATGCTATTCTTAAAAAGAATTTGGAAAATTTTCTTTTAATTTAAATAATTTCCTCCTGGTCTTTAATGTTTGGTAGTAGTGGGACTTTGAGTCTAATGCTTTATGGGATGGAGATAGGAGGGACTGTACAATCTTCTCTGTTTCTTCTATAGAAATTGGTCCGCTTAGATTTTCTATCTTCATGGGGGCCGGTTTTTGTAAATTAGTTTTCTAGGTTACTATATATCCTTCTAGGTGTTCAAATTTATTTCTGTATAGTTATACAAAGTTTCCTCTTAAAATTAAGAAAAATTTCCTGTTATTGATCATTATTCTCCTTTTTCTAATTTCATATTTCTAATTTTGTGTATATGTACTTTTATTTCTTATAAGCCAGAAAGTAGCTTGTTTGTTTTGATTTTTAGTCAACAAACTATTCATATATTCTTTTATTTACTTGTCCTACTTTTAACTCATTAAGTCTGCTTTAATTCCTGTTTTGTTACAATTTCTCCCCAGTGTATTTTTTAGTTCTTTTTCTAAGTTTGATTCATATGTTTAATTCATTTGTTTTTACGCTTTCTTCTTTAGTCATGTTACTACTTAAGTCTACAAATTTTCTTTGACTTTGTTATCCCATGGATTCTAATAATAATTATTTTTCATTATTGTTGCTCTTTGGAGATCCTGCATTTTGATTAGCCTTTAATTTTGATTCATAGTTGCCTAAGAGTTTTAAATTTCCCAGAAAAGGGAGGCTTCTTTTCTAATTTTGTTAAAATTTCAATTTTATTTGTCTCTACTGATTTTAGGTTTTGGAATTTGAAGTTTGCTACATGATATAGATCATTTTTCCACAGCTGCTTAAAAAGAAGCTATATATATACATATTTTAGGGTCTTAAATGTCTATGTAAGTCAGATGTATCTTATTAATTTTGTCAAAATCTTGTACATCATCTCTCATTTTTTCCCATCTAATCTGTTTGGGACAGATAGAAGAAAATTAGTTCCTACAAAAAATGTTTCTATTTGCCTTTGTACTGCTTGTTATTTCTGGTCTGTGAAAATGGGTACTATAGCATTTGGTTCACAGTTATTCCTAACTTTTATTTCTTTATCATGAATTATATTCTTGAACATTATTAAATTTCCTTCTTTGGCTTCAATTTTATTTTATATTATAAAATTGTGACTATTTTTGGTTTGCATTTACCTGATATACCTTTGTCCATGCTTTTCAAAAAAGGAGTATATCTAAACAGCACATAGACTTTTTTAAAGATAAATTAAGCCATTTACATTTATTGATATGAAAGATATGTTTGATCTTAAATGACATTTTTTATTATTCTGCTTTTACAGTTTATATTGTCTGTCATTCTACATTTGGTTCTTTTGCCTTTTTGTTTTGTTTTGGTAGTTGTGATTTTGAGGAAGTGTATTTGCTGTATTTTTTCTCTATTATTTATCTGTATATAATTTCGTTAATCCCAGGCAATAGCTGTTAGCTTACTTCTATAGATAATAACACTGACAGCTTATATCCCTTTTCCTCTCCCCTTGTCTGCCCCAATTTAAGTCAATAGTATTATCTTTTATATTTGTACTGCTAAATATGCTTTTACCTCTGACTTGTCAGCTTTATATAATTTCCTATATGCTTAGCTCTTACAGATGAAGCAACCCATGGGCTTATTCTACTTCCTGTCGAGGTGGTCTTCATACAACTCAAATATTTCCTTTCTCTGCGACCCAAAAGACCATATTTGTTTCCTACAAATATGGCATTTCTGTGGGTTTCTCCATGCAGTTACACGTCTTTCTCCAAGGAAACTGGTCTCAGGAGACTTCTGCACCTGTCTTGTATTCTCTGATCCTACCATAGTGGGGACACTCCCATGTTCAGGAGGGGTATTTTGCTGCCAGTCTTTGAGCTCTGCCATGCCTAGATCCTCTTCAACACTCTATTCCTTCTTTCTCTACCAACTCTTGTAATCTCAGCTCATTTTGATCTCAGCCCCATTCTCAGGAGCTTCTTCCTCAATGTTTGTCCTTCACAGTGGGCACTTGTTCTTTAGCGCAGTGGTCCCCAACCTTTTTGGCACCAGAGACTAGTGCTCCTATGAGAATCTAATGCCTGATGATCTGAGGTGGAGCTGAGGCAGTGATGCTAGCACTGGGAAGTGGCTGCAAATACAGATGAAGTTTCGCTTGCTCACCCACTTTCGCTTGCATTCTGCATTCTGTATGCCCAGTTCCTAACAAGCCACAGACCAGTACCTGCTTTGGGGTATCTATTTTTGCCAAGTTTTTCTGGGATCTGCCACTGATAGATCCCTCTGCCCTCCCCTGAGCTATCCCCTTCTGCTCCCTGCACTCTTTTCCTACAGGCTCTGTCATTAGGTATTACTGAATGCATTTTGGAGTTTGTACATATATTATGTCTCCTACTATCATTCATTATGGAGTTTACACAGTCCCTCCCCCTTTGTTCTCTTTGTCACTCTGTATGGTTTCCAGGAAAAGGGAAGATATTTGAATCTAAGCTGTGGCCATGCTCATTCTAGAAGTGAATTTTGGACTTTGATGCTTTAATAGGGGATCATCTTGTAGCTCACTGACAGTCTTGTTGATGAGGTATTCAGCATAGTTAGCTCATTTTAACACATTTGGTGGAACATTGTAATTTATTTTGATCCGCTGTATCTTAAACTTGCCAACATGAGCTACTGTTGTTACAGTAAACAGGAGGGAATTATTTATAGGTATATGGGTGGTTTGTTCCCCAAGCCACATGGACAGAGCTATCAATGCTGTATCAATATTTTACATAGTCATGGGCAGTTCCCTTTTCTTCCCTCAAGAACAGTTCTAAACCATGATTTCACTCTGTAGACCTCCCTACCCTCTATCACTCTTAACTGGAAAAATGCACAGAAGAGAATTTCCCTATCCGCTTTTTCTTCCTTAAAAACTTACCTATAATGGCAGTTGTCTCACCCTCCTTTGCTCACATCCAGGAAGAGATGCTCTTTCTCTCCAAGGCTACAATGTCTTCTCCTAGGTACTACCTTTCATTTCTTCCACATGTTTTTAAACTCTTTGTTCTTTGTCTCTTCTTCTTTTACAAAGAAACTTACTTCCTTCATCTTAAAGCTAAACTAAAGCAAATCGATCATCTAAAAAATTCTGTATATTACCCCTTTTATGGTTTCTGCTTATCTCTTCTTCCTTAACAGTCCGGCACAGCTTCTATATGAAGCCCTTGCCACACTCTCTGGTTCACTGTAATGGCTTCACCCTCCACCACTCACTGAAATGACTGTTGCAAAGTGGAAGTCAATGTTGTCCTAATGACAAGGTCCAGTTACCTCATTCTTTTAAGTCGTATGTACCGGGAGCCATGGCCTTGATTTCTGGAATGGGCAATCTGGTTCTACTTTTCTGTTCTCCTCCAACCACATGTTAAATCTTACTTTTCCTCAAAGTTATCATTTTTTCTCATATCACACAATCTTTTGTTTTGTCATCTACTTCTGAGTCCAAATAACAGGAAAGAGACCTAGCTCAGAAGTATTTTAGCAATTTTTTTCTACTCACAGCATGTATAAATTCAAAATATCACAAGAAATCATTTAAGATATTATTCCTTTAAAATAAATTTACCTCAGTTTCTGAATTTTGTGTGTTGTCGTTACAAACAAAAAGTTCTTGGGGATAGGAGCAGAAAAAATTAATCTTTCTGAAAAAAGTTTTTATTTGGTGTGGGGCAAGTAAACTGTTAATAGTTTAAATTTAGGTGGTAGGTACGGAACATATTATTTGAATTTATAGAAAATTTTGGCATTTTACAGTTCAGTTCTGTTTTGGACAAATTGGTTTTTATCAACAACAAATTTGAATAAATGCAATACTATGGAACTGTTAAAGTAATCTCACTAATTTTGAAAGCAAAGTATGTAACTCTATAAAGGAATAAGGTTAATTATTAGCAGTACTAAGATAACTAGATTTGTAGCTCTGCTATTTATGTTAGAAAAAGTGTATTGAGACTAAAGAAGTTTTTAGTAACTTTATTTTCTAAAAGTCTGTCCTACAAATGATTTTTTTCTACATCTTCACTTCTTTAAAAATAAATAGAAACAAAGACAAGCTTATCTTGATATGGGTTTAGACTCAGCCAAATTCAGCTTTCAAAGAGGTAAGGTCAACCAGAAGACGTTCTGCACTTGGTCTCTGCAAAGCACTGGCCCTCCAGCAGCCCTGGATGATCTTCTCAAGTCTTCTCCCAGGGATGGAGTCAGTGAAGACAGCTGCTGCAAGAGATGGTCGTAGATTATAGGCCACTACAGCATAGAGCACGTACTGACGCTCCCCTATGTAAGGCACCTCCTTGGTAGTCATCTGCCAGAGAGTGATGGCAAAAGAATAGATGTCAGCTTTGGGCGTTACCGTCTCTCCCTTCAGGAGCTCTGGGGCTCGGTGGGTGTAGGTACCGCCTAGGTGGTATGGAGGAGTCTGGAAGCATAGTAGATCTTCCAGCTTCTCAGAGCAACCAAAGTCGCCAATTTTGCAGACATCCTGCTCACTGATCAAAATGTTAGCTGGCTTCAGGTCCAAGTGCACAATGCTTTGTGAATGAAGGAAGAGCAGTCCATTCACAACATCCAGGGCATACTTCAAACACTTTGCCAAATTTAATTGCTCTCTGGCACAGGAGAGAGGCTCCACTTCCTCCTCCTCAGGGCAGCTGGTAGCACCGTATATGACTTGGTGTAAAGTGACATTGCCACCAAACTCCATGATAATGGTGCCTAAACTATTAAAGCCTTCAGGTGTGTGTGTGCTGGCAGCCACAACCCGCACGATGTTGTCATGGCGAAGTCTTGCAATGTTGAGCTCAGCCCAGAAACTGCGCTGAGATGCCAGTGGGTTCTTGGTGCACCTGTTCACTTGCTTTATGGCCACCGGAACACCATGGTAAGTTGCCCTGTACACCGAGCCGAAGCCCCCAACTCCCAGCCTCTGCAGGAAGCACACCTGTTCCCAGTCAATGGAACACCAGGCCAGCCGGCGTGGCAGCCGTGGGGCCCTGGGAGGAGTGGCCCCTGGGAAGAGCTTCCCTGCCTTACCTGGGAGCTCAGATGGGCTACTGCAGGGCCGCGAGTCCACAGAGGGAGAAAACTCGCCGGGGAGGAAACGGCGCCGTGGGAGAGGTGAGGGCATCGCCCTTTCAAGGTGGACCCTGAGAGCCTCAGGTAAGTGAAAAGAAAAGAAAAAACACCCGTTTTCTTGGAAGCTCTGACTGACTGCCAACTCCTTTGCTCCACTCCAGCGTTTTTCTTCTCTTCCTTCATTTTCCCCAAATGAGCTGCATCTGTGCTGTTACTCAGCATGGGTTTCTATCAGATGGGAAAACAATGTAAATGAAGCACAGTATCTTTCAGATGAAAGCATTTCCCTTCCTACACTTATAGTGAATTCTTATAACAAGCTCTCAGATACAGCACCGAGCTGTCCCATGACTCACCTTTCTTTTACACTATTTTTAAATTATAATATAATGGGTTTTTTTTCATGTCTCATCAGCTGAACATTATCAGTTATCAGACTAAAGACCACAATAGTACAATGAAATTATTTCACACTTTGCAGGCTATAATGATTGTCAGTTTTATCCTCCAGCTGCATTCAATCACTTCCAGCAGTTATTGGCAGAAAAGGTTGAAATATGAACAGCTGACATTTGCTTAACTGATTACAGGGATAATTAGGTGCAACCTTCATATATGGACAAAAATGGTAACCTTAAAATAATCGATTCAAATAGAATCACTGATACAGGTCAAAACGTATACCTCCTAAGTTCAGCACAGGAAAGGAAAATTCTCTGGCACTCCATTCGGCTTATAGAGCAAATTAGTATGACTTCTTAATACATATATCCTTCTGTTCCATGGCATTTTAGCCCACTCAGTCAGCTCACTTTCAAGAGAGATTCTAGACTCCACAGCAAATGAGTTGCAGGAGTTTTGAAGCAGAGCTGGGAGAAGAAAAAAGAACAAAGATGATTCAGAGCCACGATCAGAGCTTCAAATAATAACAAATATGAGAGAATCCTAGGAGAGGAAAAATCTGAAGAAATGAAAATGGCACAGAATCACTAGTGCCTGTATACAATGTGGAAAACCAGATGTTGAAATTAAATTTAGGGTCTTGCTGTCCAACCGTAAGTTTTCCTTTCTAAATTTTTATAATTAAAAAATCTAATTTTCATTCCATATCTTTGGAAAAAAAGACAATATTAACCTGTTCATTAAAAACAGGCAAATGTTAGGACCTACATTTAAAAAACTCAAATGGTAAAGTTTTAATCTGAATTATTGTAGAGTACATAGGTAAGATTTAACCACATTTTTATGATAGGTCTATGCTTCCGCCATATATTGGTTCTGAAAATGTTAATAAACAGAAGTTCTTTTGAAGTCCGTTGAGCCCTAGGACAGGATTTCTATACTACCCATCTGCCTAAGTATGATATAGTGTGTAATATTTAACCTGTTTAAGTCTGTCTTTTCACTTAAGAAATTAGGATAAATATTATTAAAGTAAACTTTGTAATCTTGGAATAAAAGTTGGGGAGCCCTGTCCAGATTAGTAACAGCAAAAATCTAAAAAATGTAAATATGAAATATTTTAGTAGGAATGCAATTAAAATTGTACCAAACCCAAAATACAGAAAGACAGCGGAGAGTAAAATAAGAAAATAAAATTAAATTCTTTAATAAGTCTGTATCGCACAATTTATTCAATAGTCACCACATAGTTGGGATTATAATCTAAGTATTATAAATTAAGTACTATTATGGTCTCTTTAGTCTGAAACCGTCTATGGTATTATGAGTGCTACGAATATTAGCCCGTAGGAGCAACAGAGGGCCCAACCCATTGGTATTACAGTACAAAATGGTGTGACTTGTTATCACATGATCTGTTTTGAAGATAATAGCATAAACAATTCATTTTTCAAAGTTTGATTTTATTATTTACATAAAATATATGATATTAATGAAAATGTGGTCCTCTACATATTCACAAACCCCAAGTTCATTAGACCTATCATCTGTCAATCTACACAAGAGTATTTAATTGACTATCCACTTTAAAACTGCCTCTGGGACCAGATGCCCTGGGTTTCTTACTGTCCCTCAGTTTACTCATCTGCTAAATGCGGAAAATATGCCTACCTCAAGGTTATTGTCCAGATTAACAGAGTTCCAAATGCTTAGATTAGGGCCTATAAGTAATACCTAAATGCTAATTATCATTTATGAAACTCATTAAAAAACAATGTTATATGAGTTTATACCAATAAGAAACAGCTTTGTTAGATGGTATTGGTTTAAACTGTACATTACCAGGGCTGAAGCAATGCATTTTATTATAAGCTAAACCAGTAAGTTTTATTTGAGTACCGCTACCCCCCCCGCACTAAAATTGAGGTTAAAGATTTAAGAGTATATTGTCTGTTATATACTACAAATGTGAAGGGTTAACACTAATCTAATCAAATGCAATAACCTTGTTATCCCCCCAAAAAAGCAAAGAATAAAACTTGTTGGTAACAGGGTAAGCGTCATAGACCCTAGAACTGCAAATGAAACAAAGGAAAGTAGAGCCTGCACGTACTGAGCAAACGGCTCTGCGGTTCTCAAGAATAAAAGCTTTACATTTTCTGCTCAATCTGGCAGCATGGCTCTTAAGAGATACTACAGTATTAGGCAAACAACAGTATATTTATCACAAGATGTGACATCAGATCTCTCCCAGAATTAATAGCTTATCGAATTCTATTTCAATCAGAGTTCGGGAGCACTGGGTGTGGGAAGGAATCTCTTGGTGTACGCGGAAGGCCTTCGGATAACTTAGGGCGTTAGCGCCACGGCCCACTCCCAGCGTCAGGGATCGAGGGCAGAGCCTGCGGCCCAAGCACCGCCCCTCGCTAGCGGGGGGGTGGCGGTGGGGAGGGGT